CCGCACTCAATCCACTGAGCTACACCAGCCAGGGCCTACACTTTTTTTTTTTAAATAAGGAAAAACTTATCTCAGAAAGCTAGGTTGACAAGGGAGATAGCGGATCTCCAAGATCAGCTGTGAAAGGCAGGTCCTCTGGGCCTGACTGAGAGAGAGCCCTGCCCGACCTTTGTTCCCAGAGACCTCATTTCAGAAATGTCACTTTCAGCTTGCTCCACGCTCCTGTCACATACTGTTCTAAGCACTGAAATTTGTGTTCTGCCGCTGAATAGGAATTATTGCTTCTATCTTTGGACCTATTAGAAATCATTTGAAGTTCATTTAATAGCAATAAAAATCACCTTTATATTATAGTTGACTGTTAAAATTTACAATGTAATTTCTGTTGTCTTTCATTAGTAGTATTTCAGGGCCCATGTATATATAACAAGACTACTTTTAAGTACCTTCTAAAGAAATGGCTTTTTCAACGTGAATTTTTCTTCAATTCTTAATTCCCTAGAGTGAGGGCAAAGTACAATTAATTATGTGACAATGCTGCTTAAAATTTCAGAGTTTGCCTTACATGGGTACAACTTAAAAGAAAAAACATATGATAGTGGAAACAAATTTCATGTGTTTCCCTAAATTATTTACTCAGTACTTGGACTAGGGTAAAAACAGATTACAAATGGTAAGTGGAGAGAAAAATCAGGTCGTTAGAAAAAAAAATTGCACCCTCCTCTGATTTTCCCGAGACAGGCTTGCCATTGAAATCGGGTATGGAATGGGAAGCAGATAATGCCCGAAGGAAAAAAAGTGTCCGGATTTTAAGGAATGAATCTGTTGATCCATCCCGTTCATACGTAATTTACTTAATACTTGACTGTCTCAGAAAGCCTCAATATTCTCATTTCAAAGTTGATTCGATGCACAGGAAGAGACCAGTGCATCGTGCTTGAATTGTATGCGTCTGCCTGCCTTAGGCGCGTTTCAACGCACAGGGAAGGGGAGAGGGAAGAAGCTTCCCACGTAACGAAGTGCGTCTTTCCTGGGCAAGGATGGCTGGAGAGTCGCTGCAGCTGGTGGGCAGCGGAACAGAGTGGAGCAAGGAGTCAAAAATGCCAAAGCAAATGGCAACAGCAAGCAAAAAGCATCCAGAAAATGGGCTGCAATCGAACAGCAAATGCCTTGACCCAAGTCAGAGGTTGCTGAGTCAGACTGAGAAGAAGAACCATAACCACAGGTCCTGTGGGGGGAGGGGGGGCGGGGTGCAGTGCTCACCTGCCAATAGCGCCTCTTCTTCAGCTGTAATGTGCTCTCAGTGACGAGGTTTCAGGGGTGAGGACGTGTAGGGCAGGAGCAGGGAAAAAAACTGTATTTAAAAGACTGGGAAAGGGTTGTATTAATTCTTAAAATAACAGAGCTGGTTAAAGCACTCCAATTCCAAGGAAGAAATTAAAATGCGTGCTCATCACTCAGCTGAGCAGGGTTTTAATGCAGGGCTTAATAAATATACAGTTATCTAAGTAGGCTTGAGCTGCCGTAACAAACTACCCAAGGCTGGGTGGCGTAAACAACAGAAATTTATTTTACATTTTTTTAGGCCAGACATGCAAGATTAAGGTTGGCCTCTGGTGAAAACTCTTCCTGGCTTATCGATGGGCACCTTCTTGCTATGCCCTCGCACGGTGGAGAGAATGAGAGAGCAAGCACACTCTGCTGTCTCCTCTTAGAAGGGCCCTAATCCCATCCTTTATGAGAGCTCAACCCCTGGGGCCTCATCTAAACCTAATTATCTCCCAAAGACCCCAGCTCCAAGTACCATCTCATTGGGAGTGAGGACTTCAACTTGGACTTGGGCAAGCATGATTCAGTCCATTGCAACTGTCAGTTTTGATTATCTCAGAGTCGCCATAAGAGATATATGTTATATTTTATTCCCCTTCATCAGACAGTATCTGCACTTGGTTTGGGACTGAGGTTATTCTCACAGTACAAATGGATTCTCTCAATTTCTTCTGAGTGTTTCACCTTAATTCTAACTGTATCGTGTCCTAGAACAGAGCGTTCTCTTTCTTCAATCATTTTATAAATAGCAAAAGTCTTTATTCCATTTTTTTTTCTGTTCTGTTTGGCAAACAAAATGAATGTAATTTGCTGACATTTGGAATGCAACCCAAGCATTGGTCTTGCTCATCCCAAAGGCCGCCTTCCCATCCGTGTGGGAAGGAGGATACTGGCTCCAGGGTTGTCCACGCAGCTGCAGTTTTACTGAGTAGCGTGTCACTCCGGCGCCACCACTGACCCCCACTCTTCCTGAGAATCCGGGCTCTGGCCTCCCTGCAGTGCACTGCTGCTGTCACCTAGGCTCAGGCGCAGCAGATGCTTGAATTCTGCCTGTCCTGTTTCTCTCCATGCAAGTACCCACGTCTGCTTTGGAATGTCTGCCTTTAGCGAAGGGTCAGAGAAAGCAAAAGTGGATAGTTTAGGAGGGAGACAAATGAAAATCTTAATTCACAGTGTGATCGTTTCCATACGATGGAGTTATCCATCACAGGGACACACGCTAATTCCTGGCTTCCCGTTAGCCCTCCGTTCACAGAGCACCTCGTTATCCAGACTCCTTCCCTCTGTGGACACCCCCCAGTGCCACACCACTTGGTCCCGAGAACCCCAGAGTCAGAGGCGAACACTTTTCCAGGGCATAAGTTACTCAGTTTAGAGTGATGCCCTGAGGTGGAGAATCAGGAAACAAGCTTCAGAAGAATCGTCTGGGCGGGCATCTGTTCTCCTTGGTCCTGCGTCTTTCCAAGTGCCTCCAGAGCTAAGTCAACCTTGTTCAAGGATGCAAAATTTCACTTTCTGGGGGCTCAGGCTTTTGTATAGAACCTGGTGACATTTAAATTGTGAAAATTAATATACACAGTAGATTTCAAAAACAAAAAATAAAACTACTAGAGGATACAGAGAAGAGCTATTGGTCACTTTGGGTCCCTCCTAAAGAATTCTTTGGGGATTTTTCACCCCAGGATGTCCTTAGACTTTTTGCTTTGGGAACTAAAAGCACCCACTGCTGTGTCCCCTAGAAAATGGCATCTAGTTTATTCTGAGTTAAAGGAAAAGTGTAGATCACAGGTGGCAAACACAAGGCCCACAGGCCGAGTCCGGCCCTCCACCTTGTTTTATCCGGCCCAGCACCTTGTTTCTACCCGGCAGCAGCGCCGAGCTCTTGCTTACCTGTTAAGGAGTAGTTACATTTACACAGTCCTAAAGTTACATTCGGCCCTTTGAAGGCAACCACAAGGCTGATGTGGCCCCTGGTGAAAAAGAGTTTGACACCCCTGGCTAGATACTTTACCTTCAGTTCAAAAAGCTGTTCGATATAGTGAGTAGAATTAACATCATGGCGCAACAGAATGGAATATTTGAAAACAGGGATGACCTAGAAAAGTGAGAGGCATGGCCACTTTCATAATCCTTGATTGGTTCCCTTTCTCTGAAGGCTTGATTGATGCATAAAGTAGCTGCCCAACTAATCTTTGCTTCTCCTATAGTGAGTTCCTGTGTCTTAAGTATGCTAGTTGGTAAAAACAAAGGCAATTTCAGGTGTTTCCCAATTTGTGCCTTGACACCCTCCTCCCTTAAGGCTGCAAATTGCAGAGGAGCCTATTATTTTCTCATAGTTTTACACCTAGAAGCTATATTGTCAACTTTCATTATATGCTACCGTTTACCACCAGCCACTACATTCTGCCACATTGCATAATAATGATAATCACTGTAATCATATATCAACACAATGAGATAATGAGATAATAACAAGACTTCAGTACCTTCCCTGTGTGCTAAACAATTAATTTCAGTCACAGACATGTTGCTAGCCTGTTCCACCCCACTGTAGGTGTCAGAAGCTGGTGTTCTATCACAAGGACTAGGGCAGCGGCGGCGGGGGGCGGGCAGACTTCCAGCAGGCTGTGCAACGCAGTGGGCCACCTATCTGTGAGTTTCCAAAAATTATTCCTGAAGCTTACGTGTCACCCTGTGGATTATTCCCTGGCAAAACTCTCGATGGGGTTCTTATGTGTCGGGACAACACATCCAATGAATGCATTCCAAGAGAGCATTTGGGATATCATAAGAAATCTTATGAATGACAACAAATGCACCCTAATCAACAACACCTGAGGACTTGGAGATTAACTTGTCTAGACTTGTGAGATTTTCACCTCAATTTCCCCCGAAGTTGCAGGCCCATCTCTGTAGAAGTTACTTATCTGAACCAGAGCAGAGATTAAGTCTGCCAGGCTGAGACAGTTTTATCTGAAATGAAAGCAAGATGTGACTGTGGACAGTAGCCACGTCATTCACAGGACTCAGAACCCATGGTGTTTTTGACCATTTGTGCTAACAGAAACTCTAGATTTTTTCCCCTGAGCTTGTCTGTTAAATCATGGAGATTAATCTTTATGAAATTTGTGATTTTTTAAATCCAACACGTTGCCTCTGAAGGTTTCTATTTAAAAATTCTGAGACAAAAGGACGAATAGTCCTGGCTTTAATGCATGTACCAGTGCTGGATTATTAACATTAGTGTGAGATAAATATTACTATTGTTGTCATCAGGTTTTTCTAAGTACGAGAAATAATCGACTTTCATTGAATTTTAGTGTAAACCTCCAGCCAGGAATAAAGCAGACTATCCCTCCCATCAAAAGTGTACAATAGCCCCTGGCTGGAGGAGCTCAGTGGATTGAGTGCAGGCTGCGAACCAAAGTGTCACAGGTTCAATTCCCAGTCAGGGCACATGCCTGGGTTGCAGGCCACGGCCCCCAGCAACCGCACATTGATGTTTCTCTCTCTTTCTCTTTCTCCCTCCCCTCCCTCTCTAAAAATAAATAAATAAATAAATAAATAAAATCATTTTTAGAAAAGTGTACAATAGCAAATCCGAGGGCAAATCATTTTTGAAAACGTCACCATTGTCTTCATCGACTTTACTTTCTTCTCTTTCTTTTTAGTTGCTGCCAAACCAAGACCCAACAGTGACGAATATTCAAAGAAGATCCCTCCTCCCAAACCCAAACGGAACCCCAACACTCAGCTCAGCACGTCTTTCGACGAAACGTACATGAAGAAGCACGCGCCCAGGAGGACCTCGCTCACGCGCGACCCCTCCCTCTCCCGGGTCAGCAGCCCCGCGGGGGACCCCGAGGAGGAGGAGCCCGTGTACATCGAGATGGTGGGGAACATCCTCCGAGACTTCCGGCGGGAGGACGACGACCAGAGTGAGGCCGTCTACGAGGAAATGAAATACCCCATTTTTGACGACTTGGGCCAAGACTCCAAGTGCGACCTTGACCATCACAGCTGTTCTTCGCAGTGTGCTACTCCCACGGTGCCTGACTTGGACTTCGCCAAGTCCTCAGTGCCCTGTACCCCGAAGGGTTTGCTCTGTGACATCCCCCCGCCCTTCCCTAACCTGCTTTCGCACAGGCCCCCGCTGCTGGTGTTCCCGCCTGCCCCCGCGCAGTGCTCCCCCAATTCCGACGAGTCCCCGCTCACCCCGTTGGAGGTCACCAAGCTTCCCGTGCTGGAGAACGTGTCCTACCTGAAACAGGCCGGGGCGTCTCCCTCCTCGCTGCCCCCGCACGCCTCAAGCCACCCTAAACTGGACAAGGACCAGAGCGGGGCCCTGGGGCCCGGGGCCACTGCGTCCGTGCTCTCCTCGTCCCCTCCCCCGCCGTCCACTTTGTACCGGACGCAGTCCCCGCACGGCTACCCGAAGAGCCACTCGGCCTCCCCGTCCCCTGTTAGCATGGGGAGGTCCCTCACCCCGCTCAGCCTCAAAAGGCCTCCCCCCTACGACGCCGTGCATTCTGGCAGCCTCTCAAGGAGCTCTCCGTCGGTGCCTCATGCGACCACCAGGCCCGTGTCGCAGGACGGGAGCAAGATGGTCAACGCCTCGGTCAACACCTACGGGGCGGCCCCCAGCAGCGGCTCCCGGTCCAGGACGCCCACGAGTCCTTTGGAGGAACTAACCAGCCTCTTTACCTCGGGACGCAGCCTGCTGAGGAAGTCATCCAGCGGCCGCAGGTCTAAGGAACCCGCAGACAGTAAGTGTGCAGGTGTCGCTAGCCCAGCGCGTGCCTGTGGGGCTTAAAATCGCACGCAGCTCTTAGGCACTCATAACGCACTGTAGGCAGTGCCTGACCGTCAGTCCATTTAGTGGAAATCTCAAAAGGTGTTAGTTTTCTTCTGCTGTGCTCAAGCAAAGAGTGTGATCTAAAACCGAAAGTGAAAATCTGCACCATATAACCTAGCCATTTTAAATGAAGAATAATTTTTTAAAAATAAAATGGAAAGTCCAAGTTCTTTAAGTGGCACTGGGAAGTCTAACTAAGAAAACAGACACTAAAAATTTTAAGTAACTATCTTGATTTGGAGGGAGAAATTATACATTCAGACACAGAATTGATCAATGTTAAATTTATCTTGTATTAAAAACCTGCTTGAGCTACTCTTAGAAAACCTTTGCTGGAAAGATAGCAATTCGGATGGAATTTGGTCTTTTTTTTTAACATAACCAACGGCTTTCTGCATACTTTACGTTGTTACATTTTGACCTTCTCTCTAAACTAGAAGAGGTTCATTGTTTCTCTCCTGCAGCTGTGGTGATGCGCATCTTACTCCTATGGTTGTCTTCCTGTGTCCATCCGCATATACACCAGGGGGAAATCACTAAGTGACAGATAGTTAGCATTTCTATTTAGTACCGAATTTCAAAGACCAGGAAATGTTTGTACCTGAATGTCTAATCCTTTTGTGAGCTCCAAATCACCCCAGAAATACAGAGTAAAGTCGAAACAGATCTAGTTTTCTCAATGTCCATTTCATTAAATCACACTGCTTCCCCTTGTTCAAAAATGCCTCAGGCAACTGGGCTGATAATTTACCGTTTATATCTCAGATGATCCCAACACAGGATTTTCTTACTTATTTATTCATACAGTCACATAAAGACTTTCCCTGAAGGAAAAGAAATCCTTAATAATTTTGATGATGAAGATGATGACACTCCTTAGATTATTAATATTCATTGGTAGTTATAAACCACTTATCTTGTCTATTTTTTTTTACCCAGAGAGATTTATGAAAGCATTAGCTGCATCAATAATCCCCCTTCAAACAAAATAAAACACATTTCATTTACCTGACTAAAAGTCAACAATATGTAATATGTTAGACATGTCTGGAGTTAAATATACCCATACTTGCATACATCCAGTTATTTTAAAAATTGAATTAAAAAAATAAGAACAGCGATTCTTAGCTGGGGCAGCGTTGCCCGCAGGGATGTTGGGCAATGTCTGGAGACAGGTTTGGCTGGCAGGACAGAGAATGCTGCTGGAACCCTGTGAGTAGAGGCCAAGGATGCAGCTTAAAAGCCCGCAGCGCACAGGACAACCCCCGATCCACCCACAAGGATCAGCTGGCCCACAAGATCACCAGTCGACGATTTCAAGTTTGGCAAAAGCTGGTCGATCGATATTTATTAAAGGGTGAAGTTTTGTTTTTACAGATGATAAATTCAGTTTAAACACAGATCCGGTAAGATCTGGGGGGATAAGGGAGGGAAAAAAAGTTTAAAGAAAAAAAATGTACTCTCAAATACGTCATGGCGAAAGTCATGGATGTGCTGTCCTAGACTTGGTAAGATGATCGGAGTTTTTCCTTACCTACCCATTTCTCTGGGTGATCCTTCCCAGCACCAGCTGGCAGCTCTATCAATTAGCCAGAAAAAGTATATGCAGAAGAAATGATTAACTAATGAAGTTATTTCAAGAAAAATCCATCTGTTAGAATCAGTCTATGTGCTGTATGTCACAGACTTCTCCATTTGACTCCAAAATGAGCTACATGTGCTTCTGAAACAAAGCTTGTACGTGGGAAAGTGATCCAGGCTCTTTATAGCTTTTAGGGATCCGAGGACTGAATTTTTTCCCATGTACCAACTCTTCAGAGAAAGGGCATGCCCTGAGTTATTTTAACTTCAGTGTTTTATTTTATATAACTGGTAAGGAGGGAAAATGCTGATAGCACAGATAAATAACCTAATGCTTTTTACTGTTGACTCTGGGAGAAAACAGACACTATCAGATGCTAACAAAATCATAGGGGCTCTCAGAATCTTTCTGTGCTCCAAAAAGTCGACCCAGAATTGATGATGATTGAGTTAATCTGTAATTACTATGGCAGAACGCTCAGTGATACAACTCTCCCCTTCACTCTTGCCAGACAGGATTTGTAGACGCCTGCTGATACCGTAGGGACAGAATAAGTGATGTGAAGTACTATAACATTCATGGCTCCTGAGTCTCAAGTGGTATTTTTTTTTATATTTCAGGAATAAAAGTAAGACCGGTATTTCTATTCTCCATACCCCTCTGGCTTTACTGGAAGTGTCGATTTTGCTAATTTTCTGGTATTCCATTTAAAGCACATTTATTCCTATTTTAATTTTTAAAAATCTATGTCAGATAAAATATATGCCTCAACTCTTATTTCTAGTAAGCTATAAAAGACACACTTAATTTAATAATTTCATATCTTAAGAGTTTACAATTCTTGATGGGGATGAAGCAACAGGAAGAGATAAAATGAGATAATAGGGGTAGGTAGACTCTGAATCAATTTTGTCTCCCTTTATAATTTTCTAAATATGGCCTTTCCATTAACTGTTCTGGGAAGCATTGTTTCCTACTCGATGGGACATTGTCGTACTGCTTAACTATATATGAGGATACTTGATAGTCTCTAATGATAATAATTGTGATTTGAATTGGTTATTAGTATTTTTTAAATCTGTGCAGTGAGATGGGGGATATGAGGCATGTCAGAAGTGATTAACTTGTCGTTTGTCGCTGTACAGTTTTGTGTGTACATGAGAAGTAGCTGAAGTACCAGCATGTTTTGCAGTGATTTGGGGACTCGACTGCTCGTTTTCTACCTGTAATTTTTCTCTTTCTTTTACTGGTTTTATTTTACACACCCTTTGGTTAGAATCTGTAGAACAGTAGGTCTTGAATGAGGCCAAGGAAGGAGCAAACGGAAGAAGTGGCGCGGGCCCACTCCCCAGGCATAGTCATGGGGAAAAAGCGAACAGGGTGAGCCAGAGCCGGCAAAGAGCTTCCCCATTCTCAACGATATTCCACATCCATGGAGATGCGGAGTTTCCTGCTGTTACGTTTCATTTTCAGCCTTCTAAAAACACTCCTATGTAAGACTTTTAGATCTTATATTTTTACAATTATCGATATAAATGGGTTTTATAGGTGTGATGAAATAAGGCTGGGAATCAGATGTAACCTTTTCCTTTCCTTTCACTTTGTTAAAAACACAAGTGTTGCAGGTTCGATTCTCAGTCAGGGTACATGCCTGGGTTGCAGGCCATGCCCCCCAGCAACTGCACATTGATGTTTCTCTCTCTCTCTCTATCTCCCTCCCTTTCCTCTCTAAAAAAAAAATAATAATAATAGATAAATAAATAATACAAAAGTAAAACAAAAACACAGAAACAACATCCCCCCCGAAATATGCAAACCAACAAAACAAAAAATCTACCCCTATACTCTCCACCCCCATCCCCACACACTTTTCTCCCTTTTAAGTCACTTGAGGCCCAATGATGCCTAAAATGTTAGGCATTGCTGGCAAAACAACTGATCCAACTTACTTTCACTAACTGAAATATTGAAAGAATTTAAATTTAAAAGGAATGATTTTGGAAGGAATTTTTGAAATGTATTAATTTATTATCCCACTTTTAGGGAAAAAAGAAGGGTATACTAACATAATATAGCCATCTTCATGATTCAGAGTCATTGTTGTGATCCTTGATGTGTGCCTACTATGTGCTAGTGCACATAAAGTGTTTAGCACGGTGATCTGAACAGGAAGGCCTCACATAGAGGTGACTGTCACTGCCCCTGGTCATTTGTAATAGTGACACGGTATTGATAGCTTGATTATTATGTTACTCGGATGCCCTCAGGGGCTATTAGAGGTTGTCAAGCTGAGCAGCCCTCTACTGCTATATCAGTTAAACTCACTTAAATTCTTACATCTGTTTCTTGGGGTTTTCCTGCCTCCTCCCTTGGTTTTCAGTCTCTTTATTGATGCGTGTGGCCTGTCCTCCCCTCCCTGTTTCTCTTAGTCTCCTTTCAGGCTTTTCCTCATTGCATTATCACGCCATGAATCAGGTGTGGTTTGGGCCATGAAACCAGATACCCAAACAGGTCTGAAGAGACTGTCGTCTAATTTAGGTGTTTGATCTTCCGTGTGGGGACTTTGTGACCTTTACTTCAAAAGGCCACTTTCACCCCCTTTACTAAGTCTTAAATGGGATCCTCGGGTTCGTATCTGAACTGGCCAGAAACATCAGCTTTCCGAAAACGGAGCTGTCCCGGAAGCCATGGAGTGAATGTTATTTTATTTTAGGGGAACCCACAGCTACTCTTTAGCTTATTAAAAATATTCTTTTTCAGTAAACTTCAGCAAACAAAATAAGTAAGGAATTTATCTTCATTCCTTTTCATTCCTGTGAAAGGAGGGGCTGACAAAGAGTGGGTGGGAAAAAAACAGGTACAGCTTTCCCTCGATATCAAACTCTGAGGATGCACAAGTCCCTTCTATGGTAATGGTGTAGCATCTACATATAATCTATGGATACTCTCCCATATATTTTAAATCATCTCTAGAACACTTGTAGTACCTAATACAGCATTGGGCAAAAGTGGGTGTACAGTGGTTCATAAGGAAAATAATATAATAATGAATATATTATCATACAAGAATAAACTCTATTTTGCACACTCACAACTGTAAACTACTTTTGCCCACCCTGTACACTGTAAATGCAATATAAATAGTTGTCATACCATATTGTTTAGGGAATGATGACAAGATAAAAGGCTGTACATTTTCAGCACAGACGCAATCATCATAGACCCACCTATGCAGAAAACATCAGCAACATATTTTTCTGAATGTTTTTGAATACTTGGATGGGGAACCCATGGACACAGAGGGCCAACTGTAGAGAGAAACCAAAGGG